TAAAAAAAAAAAAAGAATTATTGAAAATGGAGCTAGGTATCCATGTTTGGAAGTTGATGTTCAAATAATAAGCGGCAGAAATAACAATCGTATCTTCAATAAATACATTTTATATTTGACAGTGTACTTTCAAACACATTATTTCATTTTCATACAAACCCATGAGGTAGGTATTACCATCTCAGTTTTACAGGAGAAAAATTGAAAGGGTGGGACAGGACACCTGATATTTTGAGCTCCCATCGTGTGTCAGGTACCATTAGGAACTTTCAGTGACTTGCCCAAGATAACATAGTAAGAGGTAGAGAATACAGTTAACCCTGGGTCATTTTATGAAGTTGATGTATGTAATGCATATACTGAACACTAGTTGAATAAATGAAACTTGGACTTCTTGAGGATACTTGGTGCCCTCAACTCCCCTGAGCATTTTCTTTTTTTTTTCTTTTCCAGCATCTACCACCAGCCTAAGTGGGTCTGACAGTGAGACTGAGGGGAAGCAACATAGCTCTGACTCTTTTGACGATGCATTCAAAGCAGACTCCCTTGTGGAGGGAACTTCTTCTCGCTATTCCATGTATAATAGTGTCTCCCAGAAGCTTATGGTATGTCAGTGCTTGGGTTGGGTTTCTAAAGCTCCACCAGCAGAATAAGAGAAGGGAAATTGTATTGGTGTGAAAAGAAGAAAAGCTATGGCATGAGTTTTTCCTCTGCTTTCCAGCTATTGAAATTTAGTAGAGTGTGTGGCCCCCTTAATAGAAGTATCTGTCACATCTGAATCATCCATGGGAAGTGGCTGTGCAGGCCTACTTGTCCTGTCCTATCCAGAGCTGGATCACCCTTTGGTCTCCTTAGTAATGAAAGCTTACCATGAGTACATGTGAACGTACTTCCCTGCACATGGACATGTGTGGTTGGGTAAAGATGCTTCATGATGTGAGTTTTTGCTCTAGTGAATGATCTCAAGAGAAATGACTAAAATCCTGCTCACTCCTGAGTGCCCAAAATAAATGAGAGTAGTATAATCTTTTATATGACTTTGAAAAGAAGGTCCAGTTTTCCTTCCCAACTTCTATACCCCATTGATATACCAGAAGAAGGAAAGTGACTAGGAAGACCTCCTCGCTTTCCTGATCAAACTTCAGTGTAAGTGCACAAAGGTTAGGGAAATCCAAGTTTGCTTTCTGGCTGGCTTTAATATTATAGGTATTTAACTCCTCCATTTTCTTTTGGATTCATTTAAGAATGAGAACTGCCACTTCTGAGGTCGTAGGATTCTAGTTTGGGGGCCACAAATTTTGGGGAAGTAGACAATGGGGAGGTTTGTGACTCAGCCTTTTGTTTTTGTTTTGTTTTTAAAGATTTATTTATTTATTTGAGAGAGAGAGTGGGAGGGTGGGGGCAAAGAAAGAGAGGGTACCCCTCAGTCAGCCTTTTTGACCTGGGGAGAGATTTGTGGCTACTATAGGAATTCTGTCCAACTCTTGAGTTGGTAATGCCCCTTCCAAAGGGAATATAGACCTTCAAGGGGGATTACGTTTTCTTAGGATTGGAGTTATTTTATCAGACAAGGATCCTTGGGGTTTGGGATTTGGGTCTCTGATTTTGGGGGTATATAACTGGGCCCAGTGACTCTAGAGTTTAGTATGAGCTTATGGACAGTTGTGACATTTAAAAAAAAGTTCCCAGGGCGCCTGGGTGGCTCAGTCAGTTAAGTGTCTGACTCTTGGTTTCAGCTCAGGTCATGATCTCAGGGTCGTGAGATTGAGCCCCGCATTGGGCTCTGTGCTGGGCGTGGAGCCTGCTTGGGATTCTCTCTCTCCCTCTCCCCCACCCCCCCGCCTCAAAAAAAAAAAAGTAAGTTCCTGTCCAGTATCTTATGGTACTTATGGTACTTATGGTCCATACCTCAATTTTACATGAAGTGAGTTTTCAGTTAATATCTTGATTAAGTGGGCTCCTGCAAGCCCTCATTGTCTTTACCTAATAAGGTTATTTGAGTGGCTGAGGATAAGGTAGAGTTGCTGCTTGAAGCAGTTCCATTGTAAATTATGTTCTCTTTATCAACTCAACTCTAGATCTACTTTTCACTTAATCAGACAAATTAATTGGAAGGGTAGATGTGCAGATGTCCAATGAGATTCATTAAGTGCTCTTGGTGCTTTTAATTACAGCTATGAGGTGCCTTCTCATTTATCCAACTTCTGGTTGCCCTAGACTTTCACCTCCAGAGTAGATAGCCACTGGGCCTACAGTTAAACTGCAGTTACTTATTTATGCTTATTTTCTTCATTAGGCTAGATGGAAAACTTCTGGCCTTACTCCTCTGTTTCTCAGACTTTAGCATAATATCTGACACATGGTAGGGGCTGAGTAAATGTTTGTTTATATAAGTGCTCCATTATTATCTGTTTATTTATATAAATGCTCTATTTTGTCTCTTTTTCAGGCCAAGATGGGCTTCAGGGAAGGTGAAGGATTGGGTAAATACAGCCAGGGTCGGAAGGACATCGTTGAGGCCTCTAATCAGAAAGGTCGAAGAGGCTTGGGTCTGACACTGCAAGGCTTTGATCAAGAGCTGAATGTGGACTGGCGAGATGAGCCAGAGGTAACTGGTGAGGGGAGGAGGAGACAGGAAAGCCAACTTGTGTTTTCATATGCATGGTTTAAGTAGCCATGTTAACAAACTAGAAGTCTCCAGAGGCAGTGGGAATTAGAACTGAGTTTTTACATGGAAGGTACTGCAGATGTCTGGAATGGAAACAGGAGAAAGATACTGGGGGAGATATGCTAGGGTGTGGATTTGTTTTCTATTAAAGACCAGTGGGTAGAAGATGCTGGAAGGCAGAGTTTGGCTCCAGAAAGGACTTTAATAAATAGATACACCTTTCCACTAGTGGCTAAGGTACCTCACAAGGTAATGAGTTCCCTCTGCTGAAAGGCTTCAAAGGGGTTGAATGAGGACCCGCTCTCCCATTGGGTGAATGACTGGATTAGGTGCCCTCTAATGTCCTGCACCTCTACAGGTTTATGGCACCCCAGCTCTATGTAGGTGTGTGTTTGTACTGCATAGCTTTCCTGTTGTGGGTTTAGTCTGCTTATCTGCTTGGATACCAGTTTGTTTTAACCCCAACTACCAAAAGAGACTCCTGTCCTTTTTCATGGCACAGATGATGTTGAGATTTTATTTTTATTCATTTATATATGTCCTATCTTATTTCACAGAGGATTTAAAGTGGGTATAATGAAACAACTAAAAATGATGAAATATTGCCATTATAGAGTTGAAACTAGAGAAAATAGAACACAAATGTCTCGTCTTCTACGTAGCTGGTGTAGTTGAGCTTCACACGTGCTGTGAACTCTGGAGAATTGATATTTTATTTGTCTCTCTGATGTTCCAGTTCAGGAAAGAACTCCCATGAATTGCACATGATAAAAGCCTAATAAGGCTTCAGAGTAAGATGCTGACAAGCCAGGAGCTAATGGCTTCTGGGGGTGGTCCTGCTGTGTTGCCTTGTAGTTGTGGGGAGTCGAGACCAGCAGAATAGCAGATGAGACAGTGCAGAATAGGGTAAATATTTGTAATTGGTTTTTACCTCAGAAATTCATGGTGCTTTTCGTGTCCTCATTTGTATGAAAACCAGTAAAGAATCCTGATCCTCATAGTGGGGCAGAATTAGAATTAACTTAGCTAAACTCAAAATCTCAAATTCACCCATAAAATCTCTACTTTTAATGGAGACAGGCTATTGAAATCCCTTTTTGAGGCAAGGCTCTCCTAATTATCATTTACCGTGAATCAGTTTTTCTCCTACAAAAGATGTCCTATTTCTTGGTTAAGAGTTTGGCTTAACTATTAGTTGGTATCCACTTCTTTAAGGGAGATGAGTCTGGGTCGCCTCAGGTGACTGTCCAGTCCTGGAGTCACACAGAGGAAGTGCCTGGTGGCTTCTGCAGCGCAGGATTTTAGAGTGCAAGGTTTGACCCTTCAGACAGAGTCCACTTTGCAGTCCATTTTTGCTCTTGATGTTCACGCTTCTATGGGGAGATTGAGTCTGCTTATTCTCTCCGAAGAGACATCCCAAGTGTACATGCGCTTTCTTCCCCATAGAGTTTGTAACTTATAACCATTTATAAGTGGTTAAAGGTGATGGATTTGACTGAGGGCGGGGGGTGGGGGGAGCCATGATTCACTGCCAGATTCATTGACAAAAGGGCTTCCGTAAATTTTTAAACTTTTTCTCTGTTGTTGATGGTTGGCTTGCCCTCAAGACCTTGCATTGTGTTACCATTTTATGCCTTTCAGAGCATGTAATATTACCTTTGATCACATTGCTTCAATTTGCAATGGTGAATCTCTTCTCCACACTTGCTTGGGAGGCAGGGTGTAGAGCTGCCATGCAGGTTAGCCACCTGTTTAGGTTTTATAATCCATGTCTCTAGCTCAGTGAACATAGTCCTGGCTGCACATTAGAATCATCTGGGGTCTTCTAAAAAATGTGATTATACCCAGTTTCTGCCTCAGACTGACAGAGTCATATACTCTGAGGGTGAGGCCTTGTTATCAGTACTTTTTAAAAGAACAGCAGAGGGATGCTTGGCTAGCTAAGTTGGTGGAGCATGCAACTCTTGATCTCAGGGTTGTGAGTTTGAGCTCCATGTTGGGTGTAGAGATTACTTAACAATAAATAAAGTCTTCAAAAAAAAAAAAAAGACTGCAGATATTTCTAATGTGTAATGTAATTCAAAAATTAAGAGAAAGCACCATTGAGATGCCAGTTTCTGCTCTGGGAATAAATAGGCAAGGAATCCTATTTGTGAATAACACCTTGAAAGGCATCAGGAGGTGAGACTCATTGTCATTGGGTCTTCCTGGTATAATTACCTTTTCATAGACTTATATCCTGTGTGTACTTCTCTGTGTCCCCAGTGCTATGATTGTAGGCCCTTGGGTCAAGGACCATGTCTTTTTAACTGCATTCTGAGTACTTAGCCCACAGTACCTATTTATGAAATAATATTGGAACAAATGAAGGAAACTTTGAAGTTTGGGAAGTTGCTGAAGATTCAAACTAGAACGGTATCTGGCCTTCCAAAGTTAACCTTCAGTATCCTGGCTCAGTTCTCATGTCTGACCAGCACATTTGGCCTCAGCTTCCCAGGCCCTTCCATCTGTCTGAGTCCCTTTTGATTGTTTTGGGGAAGCCCTGGCAAGTTGGGGCATAGTCCTGAGGGGCCATCTTCCCTGACTGACTTGCCTCTTTTTTGTTTGTAGCCCAGTGCCTGTGAGCAGGTGTCATGGTTTCCAGAATGTACCACTGAAATTCCTGACACTCAGGAAATGAGCGATTGGATGGTTGTGGGAAAGGTAGGATTTCAGGAAAATGTACCCTGAATTCTTGGCATTTACCTCCTGACTTTTCTTCTTGAGTCCAGTGTGTATGTATGTATACTCATAGTTTAAGAAAAATGTGAATCTGACCATTCTGGCAAGAATAAAGTTTTGTCAAGATGGTGTGTAAAGGGCTTTACAGATATGCCCCTGGGAGATGTGACAGGGTTTTTTTCTCCTAGTCATTTAACTTGCAAGGCAGCACAAAATGCATAACTTCTGTCTTCCTCATGGATGCTTTTTAGAGTAGATTATACATTTGTGTATATTCTGGTCACTGCTGGGCACTGTTCCAGTTAGATGAAAAGACACTGTCCCTGTCCTCTGAAAATAATGAGGGAGTTGTTACAGAGGGAATTTGTTTAATCTCCTTCTGGAAAACTAAGAATAAAGTACATAGCTACCAAATCAGTATGGTCTAGAGAGCAGTTCTCAAAGTGTAGGGCCCCCTGGGGATCTCCCAAGACCCTTTCAGGGGCTCTACAGGGTCAAAGTTATTTTCATAATGGTACTGGAAAGTTATTTGCTTTTTTTCACTCATTCTGTCACAAGTGTCCAGTGGAGTCTTCCAGAGGCTATATCACAACCAGTTGAATGCAAACGCACAGAGGAGATTCTTATATTAAGCCAGATAGTAAGAGATTTGTAAAAATGAAAAACAGTGCCACTCTTCTCATTAAAAGTCTTTTGGGGAAATATAGTTATTTTTCATAAAAATATGTTATTTATGTTAACATAATGCATTCTTTTACACTGAATAAATAAAAATGGTCTGTTTCTAATAATAAATGTTGATATGTATATATCCCCCACATAAACAAAAGCTCTTTGGGGTCCTCAGTGGTTTTGAAATATGTAAAACTTGAGAATACCCAAGTTTGAACATCATTTGTTTAGAGATAGCCTCACTCAGCCATGAGGTTGGATTTGACACCCCTGTGAGGGTCTCTTGAGCCCTTGTTATCTCTGATGCTACCAGGTCAGTGCCTGGTGTCCTACAGTTGTAGCCCTCACAGATCAAGAGGCTTCCTGGTTGAAGGACAGGTTTCTGTCATTTAGGGCAGTTTCCATCCTTCTGCCTCCATGCTCTGGGGGCAGACAGCTTGAATGTTTCCTTCCTGTTTGCTTTTCTCAGCCTCAGCATTCATGAGTCTTGTATCCATATGGTGCTCTAGTCAGAGCACCCAGGGGGCTGCTTCATCTCACAGCCATCTGGAGTATAGCCAGAGGGATTTAGGATTTTCTCTTTCCCGCTCCTCAGGGATTGATGTTCTTGGCAGAGACTCAAGCCCCTTCTTGCTCTACTCACTTAGAACCCTCGTTTCTCTATTCATTCCCCCAACTGCAATCATACGTGGTCATTATCGATTATTTTCTTCTTTCTGTAGAGAAAGATGGTTATTGAAGACGAGACAGAGTTTTGTGGGGAAGAGCTGCTTCACAGTGTGTTGCAGTGTAAGGTAAGGCCTGTGGCTAGAGCTGGGCTGGAATACCTTGTGTGAGGGCATGTGCTGGGCTCTTCTAGTTCTTTTAAATTGGTTGGGGGTTGGGGGGGCTGAAGTTTAGCTAAGATTTTTCTCCGAAATGTGAGATGTGTGGCTTGCTACATTTCTCCAATGTATCCTTTTTCCTGGGGCCTTGTAGTGTTGTGCTGTCCCTGTGGTCAGTAGCCAGGAAAGGCTCCACTTAACCTCAGTGGGTCGGTTCATCATGGTCCTGAGGGGGCCTGGCTTAGTGAAAAGTTTGGAATCATTCTTTAGTGTCATATAGACCTGAATTCACATCCTTGTTTTGTAACTTTCTTGCTGTGTGACTTTGGGCCAGTTGCTTTAGCTGCTCTGAATTTGAGTTCCTCATCTGTAAAATGGGGAGAAAATACTTCCCGGGATTGTTGTGAGAATTAAATGGGATAGTCAGTGTGAAGCTCCTAACACACTGGGCAAATGTTAGTCTCTCCTTGTTAGCTTTTGGTGTGAGTTTGTGTCAGGAAGTACATTGCCCAGGGCAGGATGAGCCAGGGAAACTCTGAGGAAGAAATGAGTTGGAGAAGAAGCCTCAGCCCAGCCTCACCAAATTAATTTTTTTTGCAGGCAGAGGGTTGGGAATATCCTTAAGGTGACTGGAACTCAGGTGAAGTGAGGCTTTTTTTTTCTCAGGGAGAAAATTGGAGAAGGGAAAAGGGATCCCTACTGTGTGGGTAGGTGCCATCACAAAACACTGGTCTTGGTTTGCTTTGCCCTCTGAGTGAGCCTTAATATCAGTACTCTGGTCCTTGGAAAGTTGCTGCTGGAGTGGAGAGACAGATTTGCTCTGAGGATTTGTGATGCCAACAGGTGACTCTGTGCCTACCCACAGGTGCCATTTATTAACCACTTTGCAGGGACGTGCTTACATTTTATTTATTTATTTATTTTTTACTTCACAGGTGAGGTAGTTGAGGGTCAGAGAGATTGAGCAATTTGTCTAGGGTCACACAACTGGTCACTTCAGAGCTGGGATGCAGCATTATTGTAGCTCTTCCAGGGCTAAGTTGGGCTCCTCAAGCTCTTAAGTCCCCTGTCCCATCCTGGAGGGTGATGCTCACCTCGAGGTTCTGATTCTCTTTGGGCAGAGTGTGTTTGATGTCCTGGATGGGGAGGAGATGCGGCGAGCTCGGACCCGGGCCAATCCTTACGAGATGATCCGAGGAGTCTTCTTCTTAAACAGGTTTGCTGACATTCCCCACCTCTGCCCTCCCCTGACATGCACTGTTCTACCTTTTCGTCTCAGCCTCAGCTTTCCATACATCTGGTGTATTGAATTGTGTTTTTCCATCTTTATTTCAGGGCAGCGATGAAGATGGCTAACATGGATTTTGTGTTTGATCGCATGTTTACAAATCCACGGGACTCTTGTGGGGTGAGAACAAGATTCTTTGTCTGAATTCATAGTGCTAAATGGGCTTACGCTTCAGTGGCCCAGAAATTGCCATTTGTGCAATGCTAGGAGGATATTCCTGCTCTATGAGAGAGACTTTGCTTTGAGCTTCTCAAATTAGGTCCCATGGTGCTTCCTATGGTCCCAGGGATGCTCCAGTAAGCCGTTGTCTCTAGGGCTTCAGGCCCAGAATTGTAGCCCCCAACTCTGCAGATCCTGCTGCTCACCCCAGGTGGAGGAGGGTAGGGCTTGCAGCAGTGGAAAGGGACATTTCTGGGCAAAACCAGCAGTTGTGACGTCTGTAGGCCTAGGGAGCAGGGAGGGGGAGGGTATGAGATAGAGCATGGGCCCTCCTCCTGCATCCATTAAACTTGTATTTATCCAGCTCCTACCATGTGCCAGGCACCAGGAATATAATTTTGAATGAGATAGATGTGATCCCTTCCCCTGTGGCACTTAGGTTCTGGACGTTCTGGTGGATTCGAGAACTGGCAAGGGTGCAGGGTGGGGATGTTTGTAAAGCCTTTCTGTGGAGCCTTTCAGTTGCTGCCAGGGTGAGTATATGGACATTACAGTGAACCTGTTTTCCAAATTCAAACTTGTGACATCATCTGATTGGGTGTTGTGGCTGGTATGAGAAGGGAGTGCTTGGGGAAATGTGATATGAGTATTGGATGAAATGTGGGCACCTGGGTCCTTTCACTGGTCTATTTAAAATCAGTATCCTGTCTGAAAATCTAGGCTGTGTTGTTCAGTGAGGGGTTGTGGGGCAGGAAGTACAGCACTTACATCGCAGGTGGTGTCACTTAAGTTCAAAGAAGCCCAAAGGGCTTCTTTGGGCCTCATCTGCCTCATCCCTGAAATTAGCCCTACTAACGTGTCAGAGGGTTGGGAGAGGACCAGAGGCCCTTAAGATCTGTTCCAGTTCTAAGATCTGCGATTTCAGATGTGGCCACTTCCCTTTCTGCCTTCCTGAACCAGCTTTGTGTGGGATCATAATTACTAGATTTTGGCCCTTCTCAAGAAGTGGTAGAGCAAAATGATTTTCTACTCTGCTACATCTCATTCCTCTGAACACAGACACACCATAATGATAGAGAAAGAAAAAAGGAAATTTCATTCTAGCATTCCCTTCAGGGTTTCAAAGCACTTTTACTCAGTCCCAGAAAGTTAGTTCTCTTTGACAGTGAAGGGTCAGGAGCCAGCTGTACCCAAACCTGTTTCTGCTTCACTCACTCTCCTTCCACTAGGCCCCCTGATTATCTACCCGCTAAAGGAACTTATTTTCCAAATTCTTTAATGTTTCACTTCCACCTCTCTAACTGCTTCCCTCCATGCTGGCAAAACTGGCATTGGACCCCTCCAGCCTGTACTCATTTCTCTCTCCCAGGTCTCCCTCCCTGTTTTCCAGGACCAGCAGGCAGCACAAAAGGGCTCTTGGAATTAGCATCTTGAGAAAATTAGGTTGATATAATGTTGGTTTAATTTTCTGAGCTCCAAATGATTTCCTTTAAACCCCTGCCTGGCAGAGGAGCTCTGTCAAGCTGCTGGGAAGTCACAGGATCATTTTGGGCTCTTGAATGTAAACACCTCCAGCAGCTGGGATCTGGTTATTGTCTTTTGCTGTCAGGAAAGTGAAGGAGGCACCAGGGTTGTACCATTCAGGTCAAGGGTGGAGATGTTAGTTACATAGGAAAAGGTAGCTGTGTTTGTAACGCTTCAGGCACCTTCTTGACCTGAACTGATTTTTAGTGGCCATGGAGAATTGCCCTTTCAGAGATATTTCCCTGCACTCCACTATAAAAAGTGATTTCTTTCCATCTCTAGTGTTTTCTTCTTTCTTTTCCCCTGAGGACCAGAGTGACAGCCAAGCCCAGCAGGCTTGGTGTGTTTTTTAGGTGAGCAGAGATGCTCTAGAGCAGTTACCAGCAGAGATGGGAGTGGCTGAAGGCCCAGACACACACCCGAGTTTGCTAGGGTCTCAGTGGTTCTTGGATCAGGCAAATTTTAGAATAAGAGCATGGAGAACTTGAAGCTTGGGTAGGTGTGGGGAGATTGGAGGTGGGTGGCAGAGGGGATTATGAGGTTTTTCAATGGCATTCTGGTTTTTTGGGTTGTGATGAAAGGAGAAAAGAGACTAGGTGGGGAAACAAATTGTAAACAAGACTTGGAAGAGACAAGGGAAAAAAGGGAGTTTAGATTCTTTGGGTATATGCTAGCATATAATAAACCGTAACATTATGTGCGGGCTTTGTGTGCCTGGGGATATTGCTGAGGTAAGTAAATGTTGTCTGTGAAGCCTTACAGGAGACAAAAACTGGATGTGGATCTTTGAGTTGTGATGGTATCTTAGAGGCAATTAGACAGCACTTAAAAAGTGCCCACTGAGGGCGCCTGGGTGGCTCAGTTGGTTAAGCAACTGCCTTCGGCTCAGGTCATGATCCCAGAGTCCTGGGATCGAGTCCCACATCGGGCTCCTGGCTCAGCGGGGAGCCTGCTTCTCCCTCTGACCCTCTCCTCTCTCATGCTGTTTCTCTCTCGCTCGCTCTCTAATAAATAAATAAATAAAAAAAATCTTTAAAAAAAAAAAAAAAGTGCCCACTGAGCTTGGAGTACTGCATGAGGCGATGGAAAAGGACAAGAGTTTTGACTCCAAGGAAGTTGATCCAGTTGGATGTTGTATCATCTTATGTTTGTTTAGTATTTATAGTTTTTAAGCATCTTTGACATATGGTACTTCAATCCCACAACAGCCTTGAGAACCTACATTAGTCCCAGTTTACAGTTGAGGGAGCTCAAGCTTAAAGGTGTAAATTATATGCTGCCCTTAACTGCACAGCTGATAAGTGGCAGAGGTGAGAACGCCAGCTGTCCGTTCTATGAAAAGACCTTCTGGCCGTGACCTGTGAGGGCCACATGTCTTGAAATCAAAGAATGAGATCATACTTACGCCCTCTTTTTGGAGGTGAGATTCTTTCATTGATTCATTTTCCTTCCTTCGCCCAGTCTTCCTCTGGGCCAGTGTCTCGCTGGGAAAGCCTAGAGCCTGGGGCTAGGCATGGCCAGTGGTAAGGAACGTTATTTTTCCTCTTTTCCAGTGTGTGCAGGCCTTAAACTTGTGACCCTTGCCTCATTACCACTGTGCTGCCTAGAAAATGCTACATAATGTTCTCAGCAAATGCCATTAGGTCTTTTTTTGTGTGCAAATGAATATAATCCAAAAATGTGAATAATTGATGGCTCAGGAACAAAGAATACTGGGCTAGATTGGTGGAGAAGAAGAGAAAGAACTGATATATCTCAGCATGCCTGGGTGGGCTTGTCATAGGATGATGAAGTTTATTTTTAGCTAAAGTCAGTTTCTCCAGAGAGTTCTTCAGTGTTTTGATAAAGCTGGATAGCTATCAGCAGAGGCAGGGCCCTTTTCACCCAGAAAGTGACTAGATTGTGAACATTAGTATTTTCCATTTCTTTCTTAAAACTATTTCCCCTGAAGCTTTCTGATCTTTATCTGGCGGTTACAGAACTCTGGACAAGTACTCAGCCATGACAAACCTATGGAGAGGGAAGGCCGAGCTGCCTAAGCTCCTTCTCGCTGGATGTTCCTCAGGGTCCTCTGTAGTCACCTGTTCTAGAGCTCAACCTCTTGTCACCAGTGCAGATGGTATATCCCCTCTGCCTTGGAGCCAGGTTGGGACAAGTAGAATTCACCCTTTATGACCAGGTGTATAAAAGAGAAACGGTATGGGCCAGTGCTGGGTTCAGCGTAAATTTCAGATTAAGAATTAAAAGGTACCGGAGTGACCAAACCTATAATCCAGTAAAAATTCAAATGATTATTGTAATTTAGTTATTTCTGAGGTGGGCGGGTACTCTGGGGTTGCCTGGAGGCGGCACACCAGGGTCTCCTTCGCCCTCTCCTTGTCAGCCTCTAGCTCTCCACTGCCACCCCATGCACCTGGCTAAGAGAGGGGCAAAGGCAGGGGAAGGGAGTGCAAAAGAGGAGGAGACTCAGTGCACTGTGATATCTTGGATTGGATTCTAGAACAGAACAAAAACTAATGAAACCTGAATCAAGTTGAATTTAGTTAATAGCAGTGTACCAATGTTGGTTTCTTAGTTTTGACAAATGGCCATGTAAGATGTTAACAAAATTGGAATCTGGATGAGGAACATATGAGAACTCTGTCTTTGCAGGTTTTCTGTAAATCTAAAATTATTCCAAAATAAAAAGTTAATTGGAAAAAAATAGGGAGAGCCAAGAAGGAAGGGGAGAAGGGGAGCAAAAGGCTGCGGTTTGGAAAGGTAGGCCCTGTGCCTGGGAGGGAGGTGTTAGAGCCCCTCAGGCTTTGGACAGGAAGACCTGAGTCTGGCAGTCAGGCTGACTGGCTTCCGATTTAGCTTTGTTGCACACAGGCTGTGAACAGGTTGCTTTGTGTCTTGGTGTCTTTTTGTCCCTGTCTGTAAGTAGGGGATACAGCATCTATTCTGCTCAGTGGGACTCTTGTAAGGCAGGATATGGTAAGGAAAAGACTCTGAGAAATAAAAATGCATACTCAGATTCCTAGTAAGATGCTTTTATTAGGAGTCTGAGTCGGGCCCTATGGTTGAAGGCAGCAGGGGTGTTTTGAGGTGGGGATGGGCAAATCCAGAGGGCGGGGACCACGGAGGATACATATCCTGGGTGTTGTGGCCCCGGCGGGAGCTCTGCACTGTGCTTGCTGAAAGGCTCATTTTACTCCCCCTGCATTCTCCTTCCTGTTCCCCATTGAGCCAGACTTTTTCCCTTCCTCCCTTGTCCTCCACTTGCCTTTGCAGAAACCACTGGTAAAGGACCGGGAAGCTGAGCTTCTGTACTTTGCTGACGTCTGCGCAGGCCCAGGAGGTTTCTCAGAGTACGTGCTGTGGAGGAAGAAGTGGCACGCGAAGGGCTTTGGAATGACTCTGAAGGGCCCTAATGACTTCAAACTGGAGGACTTCTACTCGGCCTCCAGTGAGCTCTTCGAACCCTACTATGGTAGGGACATAGAGGAGGAGGGTACGGGGGGCGATGAGAGACCATCCTCTGTGGGGACTCTAGGTCAGAGGCAGTTATCCACTGGGCATGTTTGCTTTACTGGGTCTCTCAGCCTGGGGTTTCCAGTCCATGTCGTGAAGGTCTTGGTTCCCTCTAGACTGTCCCTTTTTACCCCCACACTTGTAGGATGCAGGTTAAACACTGCACTAGGCAAAACTCATCAAAACCATATTAAATCCTCTTTTCTTCTCTTGTGGTGACAGGAGATAATGAAACTGCCTGGTCTCCGGCTGAGAATGGCAGAGTTATTAACAAATACAAACCCCATGCCCATCTCCGGCACCATGCGCCGGGTGTGGGATGCACTGGGTAACAGACAGCTGAGCAGCCCCACAGCAGTCCCCTCCACTCCTTCTTGATTGCTGTGATTTGGCAGCACATCCCAAGTTCTTTCGTAACAGTTCTTATTTAAAAATTGATACTGGTTTCTAAATGTAGGTGCTTTAAACACAACTTCAGTCTTGAAGAGGAAGGCCCTCTGTTTCATTTGATGACTCTTAGCTGGACAACTCATTTTGAATTCTGCTTTATTACAACAGGGCTCTGTTTTTGCCTCTTGGTCCATCACTGCAAGGCAGCTTTGCAGGATAGATCCTGCAGTGAATTGCTCCTCACAGGGCCTTTTCTCCTGGTCCTCGAGGAAAACCTGTGTTCACAGCCCCAGAGAGCTTGTGTCTCAGCTCCTGGGATGCACAGGGCGGATGAGCTAAATGTGACTCTTGTTTCCTGCCAGGTGAGGGTGGGATTGATGGAGATGGAGATATTACCCGCCCAGAGAACATCACTGCTTTTCGGAATTTCGTCCTGGATAACACAGATCGCAAGGGTGTCCACTTTCTGATGGCTGATGGGGTAGGTGATATTCTCTCCATAGGGTGATGCTTTAGGGATTTATCATGTTAAAGGTTTGTTTTGTTTTATTTGGTCTTTTGCTGCCCTAGACTGTGGTGGTTCACTATTCAGATAGTAGGGATGTATGATGTATGTTTTTATTCTTTTTGCACATATTTTCAATGATTCCTTTGTCAATGTTGTAATGTTGTGGACATCTTTGCTTGGAGCAAGTGGATTCTTGGCTCACTTCCTCAGAGGCCTTGGTTGGCTGTAAGAGATGGTAGGGGAGAACCATGACCAAGATGGACCAGGCAAAACTGATTGGAAAGAACATTTCCATCATTTGTCACCTGGGTGCAGCTCCTGGTAGAGGCTGTCCTTACACCCCTAAGCCTCTGGATGGCTGACAGATGACTACATAACCAAAGGCAGCAGCTTGGGGGAACCCACAGGAGGCTTTGTCAGTGGTTGGGCTGAAGTGAATATTCAGGGAGCCTTGTTCTTTGGGCAGCTGCTTGAGGTACAGAGGGCATTCCACTGTAGCTTCTTCACCTAGAAATCTGATGCTGCAGGTAGTCTTTTTTGCAGTAAGCCACCACTTACTCGAAGAGGAATGACAGAGAATGTGGCAATTGCTCTAGGGTCACATGGCTAGAATTGAGAAGAGCCTCAGAGCTCCTTGGGTGGCCTCTCAAGCAGTAACCACGTGGAAAGGTGAAGGAACGGGCAGGATGCCAGCATAGGATCTGAAGATGCCCTGGCTCACCAAAGCATTGTGCACAGCAGGGAACGGCAGAGACACAGGCTTGGGGGATAAAGAGGGAGGGGCTGCTCCCGCTGAGCAGATGTGGGGGCCTGCTAGTGCTTGGGAGGTAGTTGGTGCCATTTGGCAGCCAGAGTGCAGACTCGAGGGTTGTCTTTCTGCTTAGGCAGGTGACTTGGGCTTTTTTTTTTTTTTTTTTGATTGACTCTACAAGTAGACATGCATTTTGAGAAACATTATAAATCTGGAGGGCATTGCTAAACAATTTTATTGAGTCGTTTAGCTATTACCTTTGTAGGACTGAGTGAGGGAGACCTGGTCTGTCTGGAGCCAGCTGAACAGAGGTCAGCCTCCTTTACTTTTTTTTTTTTTTTTTTTTAAAGATTTTATTTATTTGAGAGAGAGAGAATGAGAGACAGAGAGAGCATGAGAGGGAGGAGGGTCAGAGGGAGAAGCAGACTCCCCGCCGAGCAGGGAGCCCGATGCGGGACTCGATCCCGGGACTCCAGGATCACGACCTGAGCTGAAGGCAGTTGCTTAACCAACTGAGCCACCCAGGCGCCCCACCTCCTTTACTTTTTAAAAAAATTATTGTGATAAAAAAACACAGTGTACCATCTCAGCCATTTTTAAGTGTACAGTTCAGTACTAAGTATGTTCACATTTTTGTGAAACAGATTTCCCTGCTTTTTTCCTTTTTGTGAAATTGAAACTCTATAGCCAGTAAACAACAACTCTCCTCTCCTCCTTCCTCCAGCCGCTGGCCTCCTTTACTTCTGTGTGAGCTTGGCTCTCTGCTCCCTGCTGGCATCTCACAAGGAGGGAGACCACTCCAGGATAGCAAGGCACATTCTTTGAACAAACACCCTGGCCAGAGACCCTGACAGCTGGAGGGAGAGGCTCCATGGTCTTGAGACAGGAAAGGGGTTTTGGTCAGCAGAGAAAGAAAGATTACTGTGAGTGTCAGAGTAATGCTAAGTTTTCTCCTGTCACCATACTAGGGCCTGTTCAGTGATCAGCATAGTGGCTGAGTAAGCCCAAGCAGAGTAGTCACACCACTCCCTGGCTCTTGGACTGACCAGGGCATTCTGTTTCCTATCTTGTAGTTGGCCTGTGAGCAGCCAGTATTTTGCCTCTGTCCTCCATTACTCTTCCCCTGGATTCCCACATGGGTTTTACAATTTTTTGGACCATCTCCTTGGAAAAATAGACTTGGTTCTATCCCCTGCGAGCGATGAAGCAGAAGAAAGGCACTGTTACTCACCACGCCTGGGTCCTAGTGCTAGCTTCACCCAGGAGGCTACATGCCACCATGCCAAAGTAATTAAATGCTGAGCTGTGTGTTATTCAGTCAGATGGTGGAAGTCAGTGAAAACACTTGAAGACGTCTCAGTGAAGATGGGGTAGGGATGAATGAAGTCCTCATCGTGTTTCTTTCCTGCTCCGATTCTTATCCTCTCATTTCAGGGTTTCTCAGTGGAGGGGCAGGAGAACCTGCAGGAGATCCTCAGCAAGCAGCTTCTGCTCTGTCAGTTCCTCATGGCGCTGTCTGTTGTCCGAACAGGTGACACTTCCTCAGCTGTCTCCCCAGCGTAGGACTCATTAGAGGCCCTGTTGGGCAAGAGCATGTACAGGGCTTGGGAGTAAAACAAACAAAAAAACTGCTTATATCAGGTGACTCAATGAGGCTAAATGAGGAATTGAGGGAAGTAAGTGCTGTAGAATCCCCAAAGTCCCCTCTAAAGCTGACTCTCCCCCTTAAATTGCCTCTTTTAGTGGGCCCCGGTGGTGGGTTCTTGGCTTTGTCACACTTACTCCCTGAGATTACCTTACTGCCTCCTGGGGTAGAACCCACTGACTGCTCTTGGTGTTTTTGCTCTAATCTAGGAGGCCACTTCATCTGTAAAACCTTTGACCTATTCACCCCGTTTAGTGTGGGGCTCATCTACCTGCTCTACTGCTGCTTCGAACGAGTGTGTCTCTTTAAGCCGGTCACCAGCCGTCCTGCCAACTCAGAGAGGTGAGGCCTTCCTCTCCGGTTTAATCAGACTAGTCGACTGCATGCTAGAACAGCACATCCTGATGCACGTCTCTGGCATAACTACTCAAGCTACATTAAAACCCTGATTTTAAGGATACAGTTAGAGCCAGTAGAAGGCAGGATTCGGATCCTAATGGTTCTTTGGTGTGCCACTTCAGCCTCTGCCTCCTTCTCCACAAGCCTTATTCCTTACACTTAGGTGGGGGATCCTTGGCTTGGTCCAGGAAGGAGAAGATGACCAGAAGAAGGGGCACCTTGAGGGACATGGACTGGGCAAGGGCGAGGGGGCCGCCACCCAGAGGGCACTGTTGGCTTCCCAGTTGGGACACGGTACGCAGTGCTCCTGCGTAATGTGAGAGAAGATGTGGCCAGTCTGAATTGCTTAGGTGGTTTGTTAAAAACACAGGTTTCTGGGCCCCATTCCTGGAGAGTCTATTAATTAAGTCTGTAATTTAACAGAGTCCCTAGTGATGGTAATGCAGCCAGCCTGGCACAGGGCAGTTGGGAACCACTGCTACAGAGGGTAGAAATACAGCCCAACATCAAAAGGAAAGAATTGAATTGAACTTTTGCAGCAGAGTCTGTGTGTGCTGTTCTTTGTGCATGGACTTAAGACTGTTTAGCTTTATGACTCAGCGAAGAGTTTGGGGAGGAGGAATGTCGGGGAGAAGCCCTTGCTCAGTGGACTGACAGGGTGTCTTCTGCCAGGTATGTGGTGTGCAAGGGCCTGAAGGTGGGCATAGATGATGTGCGGGATTACCTCTTCTCAGTCAATATTAAACTCAACCAGCTGCAGAACACTGATTCTGACGTCAACCTTGTGGTCCCCTTGGAGGTGATCAAGGGAGACCATGAATTTACTGACTACATGATACGATCCAATGAGAGGTAAGCAAACCGGGTGTTTTTTGCTGATGCCACTGGGGTATCAAGGAAGACCAGAAAACGAAGGACTGAATGACTAGCTCTTAGTATCGCTTTGTCAATCCTAAAAAATTGGTAACTAGGATTGGTCTGCTTGTTCCAGGGCTCCTTGGACTTTGGGGACTTTGGGGACTCTCGTCCTACCCCCATGCCCTTCCCAAGGGTGGCCAGTGGGAACCTGGTTGGTACAGCCCTGCCCATGGGAGCCTGAGGTTGATAGTGAAACCTGATAGATAGCAGCCTTGTCCTGTGTCCTTGGAGGCAGGAGTAACTGCTCTTTAATTGCTTCTGTGAAAGGCTGTCATGGTTGTTGCCTTGTGAAGCTCCCTGTCGGAGACAGGAGATGGCTAGGAAGCAAGGATGCAGCATGCTTTGGAAGTTTCTGGTATTAAAGCTTTTTTGCCAGTTCATGAATTCCCCAGACAGGTGATCTGAATGCTGTTGTTTTGTTTTGTTTTGTTTTGTTTTAAACCTTCTTTGATCCCCTCCTTCCCCCTTGCTGTTACTGGTAATAATTTAAAAGTAGTGACAGTGCTTCCATTTTCTAAGTGGGCAGGCCTGAGAGAAAAGTTTTCTGAGGTTCGTTGGAGAGTTGTATAGTAGCAGTGAGTCAGTAGAAGTGCTTTCTCACAGGGCAAAACAGGTGTTGGAAAGGTCATTTCTAAGTCACAGTCCCGACTCCTAGAGAAGTTTGAAGGTATAGGCCCTGGAGAATCACAGAAGAGGAAGTCTTTACCCATTTATCCATCATCCTACAGTATTTTAACTTTCCACAGTACTGCCACATAAGTGCTCTCATCTTGATGGGAGATACCAAGCTGGAGCAGATACTGAGCTTCAGCATGCGGTCCCAAACCGGTCTAGAGTCAGCAAAACCATGGCTTTGTAACGTTTTTGGACTTCTTTTGCTGAACTGTGTTGCCATCTGCTATGAGCGTGTATGGATGCATGGCAGAGCTGGACTTTTCAGGGGAGCCTGGGTGGCTCAGTCAGTTAAGCGTCTGCCTTCGGCTCAGGTCCTGGGATTGGGCCCTACGTCGGGCTCCCTGCTCAGTGGGGAGTCTGCTTCTCTCTCTCCCCCTGCCCCTCCACCCCACTCATGTTCTCTCTCTCGCTCACTCTCTCTCAAATAAATAAATAATCTTAAAAAAAACAAAAAAACAAAAAACTGGACTTCTCAGTGTTCCCAATAGTGCAGTGTTTAAGCAATCCTATATCAAATCCATTTTCTTTCTTTGCTTAAAAAGATTGATATATAATTCCATAATTGAAATGCAGATCTATGTGTCACTTCAATCATTTTTGACAAATGCATATATCCACGTAACCTACATTTCTATTAAGATTAAAAAAAAAAAAATTACTGTAACCTCAGAAAATTTCTTTGTGTCCATCCAGTCAATCCTGAAGTAACCACTTTTACTTTTATCATCCTGGATTAGTTTTACCTGTTCTAGAACTTTGTATAAGTGGAATCATACATAGACACTTTTGTGTCAGTTTTTTTTCTCCTTACCATAGTGTTTTTGAGATTCTTTCATGTGGTGTTTGTTCCTTTTTATTGCTGAGTAGTATTCCATTGTATGGTCATACCACATTTATTCTTCTGTTGATGGACACGTATGATATTTCTGGTTTAGGGCTGTTATGAGTAAAGTTGCTAAAACATTTTGTGCAGGGCTTTTGATGGACAAATGTTTTCATTTCTCTTAGATGAATAGCCAAGAACAGAAATTCTAGGTCATAAGTTAGATGTGTTATTTAACTTGTTAATAATGCCATACAGTTTTCTCAAGTGCTTGTACCAGTTTATACACCCTCCAGCAGAGTGTGAGAATTCTGATTGTTGTACATCTTTGCCAGCATTTGGTATTGCTAGTCTTTTTCATTTTAGCCATTCTGGTGGGGGTGTAGTGTTCTACTATTGTGATTTTATTTTTATATATATATATATATTTTTTTTTAAATTGAATATTGTATTAGTTTCATGTGTATAACATAGTGATTCAGTATTTATATACATATATGAAATGGTCACTACAATAAGTCTAGTTACCATCTCTCACCATACAAAGTTGTTACAGTATTATTAACTATATTCCTTGTGCTGTACATTATATTCCCGTGTCTTATTTATTTAACTGGAAGATTGTACCTCTTAATTCCCTTCACCTATTTTGTCCATCCCCCCACTCCTTCCCTTCTGGCAACCATCAGTTTGTTCTCTACATCTGTAAGTTTTTTTCTGTTTTGTTTTTATTTGTTCATTTGTTTTTTTGATTCCACATATAAGTGAAGTCACATGGTTTTTGTCCTTCTGTGTCTGATTTATTTCGCATAGCATAATAGCCTCTAAGTCAATCCATATTGTTACAGATGGTAAGATTTCATTCTTTTTTCATGGTCAAGTAATATTCCATTGTATATATTCCTCTTCTTTATCCATTCATCTATTGATGGACATTTAGCTTGCTTCCATATTTTGGCTATTATAAATAATAGTGTGATGAACCTAGGGGCACATAGGTCTTTTCAAATTGGTGTTTTGTTTTCTTTGAATAAATACCTAGAAGTAGAATTGCTGGACTGTTAGTAGTTCTGTATTTTTAATTTTTTGAGAAAACTCTATACTGTTTTCCATAGTGGATGCACCAATTTATATTCCTACCAACACTGCACAAGTATTCCCTTTTCTTCACATCCTCACTAGCACGTGTTACTACTTTTCTTTTTGATAATAGTCCTTCTGTGAGGTGGTATCTTTCGTGGTTTGATTTGCATTTCTGTGGTAACTAATGATGTTGAACCTCTTTCCATGTGTTTATTGGCTGTTTGTATGTTTCTTTTATGATGTGTCTCTTCAAGTCTTTAGATCATTTAAAAATTGATTTGTCTTTTTATTAAATTGTAGGAACTCTTTCTATATGTTGAATGCAAGTCCGGTTTCAAATATGTGTGTTGTGAATATTTTGTCCTAATGTGTGACATACCTATTCATTTTCTTAATGGTATCTTTTGATAAGCAGAAGTTTAAAAATTTTTCATCATTTTTTATTGTGGTTAAATATACATAAAATAAAGTTTACCATTTTGACCCTTTTTAAAATGTATAGTTCAGTGGCATTAAATATAGTCATTCACATTGTGGATTCATCCTCACTGTATATTTCCAGAATGTTTTAATCATCCAAAACAGAAACTCTGTAGCCATTAAACAATAACTCCTCATTTCCCCCACCCCAAGCCCCTGGTAATCTCTATTATACTTTCTAGTTCTATGAATTTGCCTATTCTAGGTACCTCATATAAGTGGAATCATACAATATTTCTTCTTTTATGTCTGGCTTATTTCACTTAGCATGTTTTCAAGATTCATCATGTTGTAGCATGTGTCAGAATTTCAGTCCTTTCAGGGCTAAATAATATATTCCATCTGTATATACCACGTTTTGTTTATCCATTCATCTGTTTTTGGACATTTAGATTGTCCCCAAACTTTAGCTATTGTGAATAATACTTCTCTGAATATTGGTGTGCGGGTAATTGAGCCCCTGCTTTCAGTTCTTTTCTGTATATACCAAAAAGTGGAATTGTTGGATCATGTAATAATTGTGCTTAAATGGTGCCACTACTGAAGAACTGCCATACTATTTCTTATAGCACCAGCCCATTTCATATTCCCACCAGTAATGATCCAGGGTTCCAATTTCTCCACATCCTCATCAGCACCTGTTATTGTCTCTTTCTCTCTCTTTCTTGTTTTTTGGATAATAGCCATCCTAATGGGTGTGAAATGGTATCTCACTGTAGTTTTGAATTGCATTTCCCTAATGACTAATAATATTGTACATATATTTTTTTAAAGATTTTATTTATTTATTTGGTAAGAGAGAGAGCACAAGTAGGCAGAGCTGGCAGGCAGAGGGAGAGGAGAAGCAGGCTCCCCGCTGAGCAGGGAGCCTGATGCGGGGCTCGATCACAGGACCCTGGGATCATGACCTGAGCCAAAGGCAGATGCTTAACTGACGAGCCACCAGGCACCCCGTACATATTTTTATATTGGGCTGTTTGTGTATCTTCTTTGGAGGAATGCCTATTCTAGTCCTTTGCCTATTTTTATTTATTTATTTATTTATTTATTTAT